TAATTTTCATATCTTCCCGGATCTGTATATGTATAAATATGCTTCGTTAGCAAAAAGCTAGACACATTTCAAATCTCAAAAAGGATACTTATACACCCTTAACAAAGTTTCAAACGTCCATTTTATTAACGAAAGATATAGAGATTTATATTATAGCGAAATATGTATAATACTAGTTATGCAATAAAATATAACTTTTTTCTTACGTATATCGAGAAGTAAGAAAATTGCCCGCATAGTTTTGAGAACTCATTTCGACCGTTTGACCATTAAATCGCTCGCCGTACTCAAACAGCGATAGGGGATACTTCGACGGTGTAGCGGCAAGAATTTCCCTTTTCCTCTCTCTCTCTCTCTCTTCTGCCCTCTCACTCTGACTCTCATTTTAACTCGCGCAATATCTCGGACGCACGAAAATTCGATTTCGCCTTCCTATCTGCCGGCTTCTGGTAACGGGAGGCAAATTCTTCGACAGTGTGCACGGCAAGGCGCAGGCGATGGAAAGGCTACGGTTCTGTCTCCCTTGTCTGGCAGCATCATGCTATTAATCGCATTAGGCGACCGACGGGTCTGCTTGAGTGGTAGATGCCCTTGCCTTCCTTCACAAAGGCATCACACGCCGGTATCTTCAACCGTGTACCATGATACGGCCAGTGGACGCGCATTCTGAGTATATATCAATCACATACCAAGAACGCTTAGAGTTCCGCCGAGTACTCTCTCTCTCTCTCTCTCTCCTTCTCTCTCTCTCTCTCCCTCTCTGTCACTCGATTAAATCTTTTAATAATCTCTAACTATCTACAGAGAAGTATATTATTCGCACATATATATTCGATTTTCGCAATTTATTTCTTTCAGAAAAACAAAAATTTGGTAGAAAATGAGCCTATTTAATACCAGGTTTAAATATTGCCAATAATTGAAGAATATAATTTGTTTAATAGGAAGAGTATATATGTATTTTTGTAGGGCCATTTCAAAATGAAATTTTAAAGTATATTAGATATATGGAGAAAAATATAAGAAAAACATTTCGATTTTGAGAATATTGCGCGATTAACACAATTTCTTATGAATAGAAATTTTTCTTTATTTTTCAAGGTCTTTGAAAATATGTATCCAAACTCGAAATATAATTTTATTAATCGAAATCAATTTTATATATTTTCTAAAAATCACTTTTTACGTCACAAAAATATTAATATTATCAATGGCCTTAATTGACAAAAGAAAAAAATATTGATTGCCGATTGCAGCTAAAAAAGTCTTTAATTAATCCTTTTACTATTAAATACTATCGTACACATTTTAAATTTCGCAAAGGGAGGAATCTTTCATAGCTCGAAACTTTAATTGTTATCATACATGATATTGTAATCATCTTTAGAATTTTTCTACTACAATATTATTCATATATTTCAATATTTTATCACACTAAAACGTTTTGTAAAAATTATGGGAATCGTGTTTCCTTCACTTGTTCAAGCGAAAAATAATTATTTGCGAGATACACAATTGCTTGGTACTATTTCAGTATTACTTTATAGTAACGTGGTTTTAAACGCGAAAAACAAAATCTAAAACTCGCTTTTACAAATGTATGCTTGCGTGCGCATTAATTTTACAGCTTTAATGAAAAAACGCGCCAACGGCGCGTATGCATCGCACTGATGTTAACTAGAGCGTTGATATCCGATGCGTCGTAAATTGGGGTCAACTGTCTATTTTCCTCTCTCTCTCTCTCTCTCTCCGATATGTTTTCACTATCCCTTTCGCGTAATTCTACTAAAAGTATACAGCTACGTACAGTATTTTTGAAAAATAACGGAGCATCCTTCACGCGACGAGGAGAAACACGGCACGCGCCATAATATAATTTAAACATGAAGCAACGAACCCTCTCTGCGTATCATTATATTTCCTGTCATCCCTGTGTCGAAATGTCACAATCGTCAAATCGTCCCTCGTCTGCCACAACTTTCTCGTCTTTTCATCGACTTATTCGTCGCGTCGATTCTTCCTCATTCGCATAACTGCAGAAGAGAAATGCCGTCTCATTTCTATAGACATTCATTATTCACTGCTCACTCAACGTGCTTCACCATACCCTTTCTTTCCTCCACTTCAGCACAACCCTAAACCTGCCTGTCTCTCTTTCAGTTTTCCACTAGTTTCTCTATTTCTCGCCATTTGGGCTATCGCTCACGTCCGTTAAAATCGGCAATGGCGATAATCCGCCGAGCTTTTAAACGAGCATCATTCACCGTTTTACAAGCGATGGACTTTGTCGAAGGATTTCTGATCGACGAAAGAGCCAGCTGAGAAGAAAGGAAGAGAACGAGAACGTCGACGAATGCCTGGTGAGAGACGGAATATTTCATGAGGATGGAAGAACGACGGCAAATGTTCGCGCGCAGTAATCCATCGGGGTAGTAATGTTTTGCACAATTCATACGGACCGCGTTAAACGCTTTTTGATGGCGCGATTTAATTACAATACGCTTCGATTTTCGAGCATGAGCGAGCAGATATACATTTATAAAATCGATTAAATTGCACCGCTTTATTTGTTACGATATTATTTCAATAACATATTATGCTATTTTGTGTCCAAAAATTGTACAAAAGTGTAAGGTATTTTTTTTGAAAACATCTCTCTAATCATTTGGAAAACATCTCTATTTATTATATGAGTTTTACGGGTATCGTAAAATCTGTTTTTGCGATTTGTTTACTCCCGCATAATAAATGACTTACATTATAGCGATGACTGTAATTAGTTTAACATTATGGAAAGTAAAACTTACAGATAAATCATGTAAATATTCATCCAATTGTAATTTCAGGTAATCCAATTGTAATTAAATAACACGGCTTCATAATTCAAACTGCTCAATTAACATCGATGAAACTTATTTTCAACTACAGAAGATAATGTAATATAACAGAATGTAAGCTGTGTTATGAAGATCTAGCAATATATATCGGATTAAAAACATCGAGTATTTATATGTTAAAGTACATATCTCAAACAAATACATTGGTACAATCAATTGATTAACCTCTATTACTTTATTATATATATGCGTACTGCAATCTCGACGTGTCGATATATTCTGCTGCAATGTAACGCAACCATGTTGAGTACACATCAAATATCGTAATATCATATCCATCGAAAACAGGCGGTTGCGAAAAATATAAAATGTTTGTATCTGTAATATTGGTAATGATGCGAGCCTCGACAATATTTGCGCGAGTCGTATGTTGAAATATAAATAAACGTATTGCAAAAGTACGTAAAAAGTTAAATATTCAACGATGTTATTGACGATGAAAAAAAAATATTTTGTAAGCTTCCAATATTTATCAGAACGGGGCAAACTGCGTCCAGCAGTATTTATGCCATTTGTATATTTTTCGAATATCGTTACGGTCGCTTGTAAAAACGCGCTTTACGTTTTTTTCTAAATAAATTTTGGCCGCTGCCTGAGGAAAAAACTTTTGTGCGTGAGATCAGCATTCGAGATCGCTATGATATGTGAAAGTCAATTTCTCTAATGAGAACTTTAGCAATCGTCCGTCTCTTCTTTTTACGTATTCCCTTTACTTTCTTATTTTCTTATCTTCTCATTTTTAGATCGTAAAAAGGAATTGATTGAAACCGCATTCGTTGAAACTAAATCATCTATATATAAGAGCAATTCGTATTGCCTCGTAAAACTAGAGATTTAAAAAAAAATGATAGAGACGAGCGATATTCCTTTAACTCTCTTTTTAAAATGAAGAAGAATTTAAAAGTCCTATTTGATTCAATTGATTCTATTAAGTATATTTTTACATTAGTAGATTCTTTGAAATTGCAGATATATTCTAAAGAAAATATATTGTATATAAAACAAAATTTTTTAAATATATATAAAAATAGAACATATATTAAATTAAAATAAATGTAAAACAATTGAGAACAATACGTAGCCGCATATAAATCATAAGAAGGAAATTTTTACAAAAACAACAAATAGAATACTTGGAAAATTAAAATCAATAATTTGCTCAATTTACGGAAATGCCACATATTGCACAAAAACATATGATTAATTTATTCTCTGATATAACTCTGATCTAATATAACTTTTACATAAGAAATGTCTATTAAATTTATATCATTCACACATGATATGTAATCGCAATGGTAAAAAATGTAAATGAATAAAAATAAGCAGAAAAAAATTCGAAAATTGTTTTAAATAATCAGCTTAACCATTTGTAAATTATCATTTGTTTTTCATGAAAAAGAATAACGACAAAAAAGAATAAAGAGAGTACTGAATATTGAAAAAAATGGATTTTAGCTATATTTTATACCGCGTTTTCATAACGATACCAATACGCAAACACAAATAAACAACGCGCGAAATAGAAAACATTCTTTTGATTATTATATCATTTTGTATAGACACAGAATTTCCGTTTTATTTTTCTCCCAGTTTTACTAATATATTTCGCAATATATCATTTATCTCGCGCATAAACAAATATCTCAAGTATTACACTATCCTGCAATTGTGTGAAATATAATTTCAAACATTGTCATTATGCACACCTTGATTGAGATAATGGCACTGATGAAGTAGCAATCGTAGTAGTGGTGATCATATATTGCGAAACTATTTATGAGCACCCTTTTCTATTGGAATCGCAATCGACGTGACGCTGCATCAAAGAGAAAGCCGATATTATGATGGAACATACCACGCTAGTATTTAGAATGCATAAGCGAATGGTATGTTTGCGTACGGCTATATGCATCTGCGAGTTCAGTAACCCTTCTGCCGACGGCAGACGTGCTCGACAAGGAGGCTGAGCCCGGCGAGCACTCGACGCGGCGCGTCTCTCACGAAACATCTATAGCTATGAGCTCAGTACCATCCGGAAAACACGGCATCGCGTATAAGTAACGATATATATCTATATATATATAGCACGCAAACACTCACCGATGGAAATCTTGTCTGGAAATACCGCGGGCACCAGGATCAAAAGGACGGTTAAGGCCATAGTCATCATCGTGGCAGTAGATGTTGGTCTGCTGATCCTACCGGCACCGCTGTTTCCCGCGTTCTTTTCGGCTTCTCCGCGAACGGCCGACGCGACGATACCGAGGGAGACCGCGATGGCGCGACACCGTCGTCGCGACGAGGGTGGTCCACCCGTCTCGTGAACAACCGAGAGCATCTTTCGAGCTCCGTAGTCTGACACAAACTGTCGTACTCTACTTGGCGTGAACTCGGTCTCGCCTGAACCGCCCCAGCATCCCTCTCGTCTTCTCTCTTCCCCACTTACCACTCCCACCCTCTGAATCCCTCTCGTTTCTCTCCCTTCCTCTTTCGTTCGTGGACCCCTTTAACCAGCAGCCACCCCAGCCATTCCTCGCCCTTCCCTCGATGCATTGCAGCGCTCTCGCTCTCGATCCGCTCTCCCTCTGTCGCGACTTCCGCCACCACCGACGCGCGCGAGCATCCTCCAGCCTCTCTCCCTCTCACCCTCTCTCACTCTTTCTCTGTCACACCCTCGTGCTTCACCACAGTAGTTCGGGATGGAAGCGTACGTTTAACGCGCATGTTACGATAGTCGCGGCGCGCGTGTTCGTCTCGGAAATATTTCGCGCACCTGCTGACTGGCGTCACACCGCTACCGATACCGTCACCGATGTAGATGCCGATAGACCGGCATTAAATCGACGCGCAAGGATACTTTCGCTCGCAACTTCGTTAATGATCGATTCGATTCGAGCACGACGATCCATACGCATATTGAAACAATACATCATCAAGATATATAATCGGTACGAATATAAAATGAGCGATAATAAAATGAGCTACTGTAACGCAATTGAAAATTTCTGATAGAAACGTTAAAATTTTAAAACGATTAGTATTATTTATTGCCTCAAAAATTAATGTAAACAATAATGTACGTTCTAAGAGGTGATGTATAATAATAAAGTTGTAACACAATCACTATAAAATAAAAGTATATCCAAATTATATGGAAATGTCAAAAACAATTATTAATATTCCATGTATGTAATAATTATTGCATGTATAATTAATTTTTATATTCATATTTTTTTAAGCAAATATTTAATAAACTAATTATATAATTTCCAAAGAATTTTTTATAAACATAATCATTTAATAAAAAATAAATTAATTTAATTGTGAATTGTGATTTAATTAAAAATTGATTTGTAATTAAATAATTCAATTAAAAATTTAATTTTTTTAAATGAATACTCTAAATAATTATCAATCATGAACATGTTAAAAATATTATATACATATACATAATAAGTATTACAAATATTTAGTATAACATTATTTTAAGTATTTTTAACGTGACAAAAATTTTAGATATATATATTTCATTAAATTCTATTAAAAATATAAAATAAGGCTAGAAGAATACGTCAGATGCGATTATCACAAGAATAAATAATTAATTACACAAACAGCAAATAAAAATTTACTATTTACCCTAAGTAAATTTTATTATCACGTTCGTTACTTTCTTTTTACTATGGGTTGCTGCAATATTTATTTGCGAAAACATAATTACGATCGCGCACGCACTATTAATTAGAATATAATGATTGTGCGATATTTTGCGAGACATACCACTCTCAACGTGTCATGTGCTTTATTACATTATGACGAAAGAATAATGCAGAAAACATACAATCCAGTCCGTCATGTCTGAAACCCGAAAACACAGTTATGATCACGCGACACTTTATGGCATTCGTGATGTTGATCACACGCGACGCACACTTTATTACATTGCGACGAAGAATAACCCGAGGAAGATGCGGTCGCAAAAAGCTACCATCCACTAAAGTACCTCTAGTATGGATACTGTTGATTTGATTCGCCATTTATAATAGAAAGAGAAAAAATTAACAATAGAAGAAAAATTAAATTTATTATTGTATATTGATAAATAAAGAATATTTTTAATTTTATAAATTAATCAGCAATTTTACACAGAAAATGCTAATCTTGTTTAAAATATATTTAAAATATATTTTATATTTTATTATTTATTTTTTAGCTTTATATTTAAAATATATTATCTGAAGCGATCATTATTAATGACAGACAGTGTTCATACTTTTACTAGAGATTTCTACGATCCACTCGGCACATATGACATCTCACAAATAAACGCGATGGATTTTATGGAATTTATGAATTTTATAGAAAAAACGAATGAGTTTACGAGCAATTTCGCTCACTATTTGTGCGAGCACGATGTGTGTTTATAATACATATATTCACAGAGAAAGAGTGCATTTCATCTAAATGGAATTTAATGCTAACATTACAAATGCTTTGTTGCAAGCGTTTGATTGTTCAATTGATCAATCACGATTGATCGCTCAAATTAGATTGCACGAGATACTAAAATTCTTCATATTGTCTTGTTTTGTCTCAAAATTCGAAACAAAATCAAGACAAGCTTTTTAATCAGTTATCAAGACAATATCAAAATTAAGATTGTTAAGGTTATTGATCTTATCAAGATTGGCTTTTAAAAAAAGCTAAAATATATATATTTGTAAATTAAATGAGAAAAAGTCATTATATATTATACAAACTTTTTTTTTATTAAATAAAATAAACATTTTATTTAATAAATAAAAATATTTATATTAATAAACTATATTAAAAAACAATTAATATAATAAAATAAATGATATACAATTTTACACAATCATTTAGCTATAAAAAAACTTTATATATAGCATATTTACGCAGTTTTCTGATAGTGTATGCGTATGAGCTGCATGTACATTCTGTAATCATTATATACAACTGTCTTTCCGTGTATGTAACATATATATATATATATATATATATATATACATAGAAAGAGAGAGAGAGAAAGAGTTTTGGGAAGATGATATAAATAGTAATAATTATAATTGTTTAGTTCAGACAAAACTCGTTGATAAAAATCAAGATAAAACAGTACAAAACTAGATTTTTACTACAAAGATTCACTCAAGACAAAGAAAAGATTAAGTGTTCAAAAATTTTCAATATTAATACGATATTTTAACAAATATTCTACATGATCGTCATATATCATATCATATATGTATGTCATGTCATATATCATAAAATAAAATTTTTATTTTGTAATATAGATTCTAAGATCAATTTATCATATTAATTTTATCATATTAATAATCTCAAACATATTACTATCCATGTTGAAAAAATAAATTTTTTTATAACACAATTTCTTAATTAATTAATATAAAATTACTAGTCTTCTAATTTTTAAAATTATGATTCTTGTCTTGAGTCTTATGCGACCTTAGATTAAATTTTTATTGCAAAATAAAAAAATTTTACTCAATGATATACATATATAGCAAGGATATATATATACTACATTGCTTATTATTTAAATTTTATTCTACATGGTCATCATGTATCATATCATATATGTCATGTCATATATTATGTCATAAAATAAAATTTTTATTTTATATAGAATATTTTATATAGAATCTAAAATCAATTTATGATTTTTATCATATTAATAATCTCAAATATATATTTTACTATCCATGTTGAAAAAATAAATTTTTTGATAACAAAGTTTCTTAATTAATATATTAATTATCAGTTTTCAAATTTTTAAAATTATAATTATTTTAACAAACACAGAAATTCAGAAATTCAAAATAACAAGGAATTTTTAGATACGTTATTGTTTTGTATACTTAAATGACCATTAGATGAAACAGAATATTTATCTTAAAATATTTATTAATTTTCATATGCTATGATATAGCAAGTAATGTCGTTTTAGTCTTGATGGTAATAGTATCCGATATTACATGCATGCGTAACGTTCTCTTTGCCGGAAAATTCATAAGAATAAGGTATAACTTACCGGAAAAAGCGCAGCGTCGCAAACAGTCTCATCTAATATATGCGCGACGCGTCTTCGCTCGTTGCTCGAATAAGTTTCTTCGTCGAGGTTTTAAGCGGTCGGACGGTCAACTTTATACGTCCGCGCTGGCGAATTATGGAAATCCTTCCTGAAAAAGTTCAAAGTGCGGCGAGATGACGCTAACGTGTCAAAAGGTGCAAGTCGTTGTTAAAGTTCGTCAGAAGTTTTGACAAAAAATATTAATGTTTGTTTCTACGTTATTACATTATTATTTTGGCGCGATAGCATTCCTCTAATTTAACAAATATATTTGCGATTTGACTAAAGGCTTGAATAGAGGTTAATATTGAAAATATTTTATAAAAGTTACTAATTTACTTGTTAAAAACATTACGCATCAGTAATCTTCTTCAAAAATTTCAAAAAACTTTTTTTCAAACTCTTTTTTTGGATATTAAATACATTACAAAGTTCACCAAAAAATAAAAATCTCAATTATCTGGATGTCGATTATATTGTTTATTTGCCTTAAAAATGTATTTTAAAAGAATAAAATTATTTTATTAAGAAATATAAAAGAATATAATAATATTTGATTGTAATTTGATGATCTGATTATATAGAATTCTATTAAATGAGATAATAAAAAACAATCTATTATTAAACAAATTCACATATACCTGCGATGCAACATTTGTTGTAATTTATGGGTGGTTTGCCGTTCACAACTGATGAAAAATAAATTCACAGATTTGGGTTTAAGCTCTTCGATGGGAAAGTCATAATACCAAGTACGAAATAAAAGCAAGCCGCGTGTGCTGTGTCGCTCGAAAGACGTCCGCATCATGTTCAGAATCACGTAAATATCCTCAGAAATTATCCTAGATATAAATAAAAATGCATTTTTTATAGTGGTCAATATTTACATAGTAAATTCTTATGTTCAAAATTATCTTTACTGATCGAAAACCTAGTACTATACTCTATACATAAGATTGGTCTTCGGTACAATTTTAAAATACTGTGCGATCATTTCATTGGCTGAATAGAAAGCTATGCCTTTAACTTAAGAGTGCAATCAAAAGATTTTAAATACAAAAATATACTGTATGATATAACTATTTTTCTCTCTTTTTGCTATTCATAATTAAACACTTTATTTCAGTTTCTTTAAATATCATAATGTAGAGAGAGAGAGAGAGGGAGGGGGGAGAGAGAGAGAGAGAGAGAGAGAGAGAGAGAGAGAGAGAGAGAGAGAGAGAAAGAGAGAATCACTTTAATCAATATATAACTTTATTTTTTTTCTGAATTCTTTTGTATATTTTAAATTTAATTAATACTATATTTTTACTTTCTACTCTTTTATATATTATTAATTTAATTAATACCAAATATATATTTAATCTCTATTCTTTTATGTATTATTAATTTAATTAAAACCACATACATTTATAATCTCTTTATTCTTTTATATATTATTAATTTCATTAATACCATATACATCTTTAATCTCTATTCTTTTATATATTATTAATTTAATTAATGGTATACAGTTTTAATCTCTCTATTCTTTTATATATTATTAATTTAATTAATATCATATACATCTTTAATCTTTTATATACTATTAATTTAAATAATAACATGTACATCTTTAATCTCTATTCTTTTATATATTATTAATTTAATAAGATACATTTTTAATCTCTCTGTTCTTGTATATATTATTAGTTTAATTAATACCATATACATCTTTAACCTCTATTCTTTTACATATTATTAATTTAATTAATATTATACATCTTTAATCTCTATTCTTTTATATATATTCTTTGCCATTTTCCTTCAATGTATATATATTGAAATATATAGCGTACTCTAATATAACAAATAATATAATGAATACACGACACTTACGACAAATCTTCGAAATGCTTGATGTTTTCCTTAGTATATTCGTGCAACAATATCGTGTTCTTGGTAGCTGTAGAATTTCTAATGTCGAGATTAATGCCGACAGATAGCTCCATTCCGACGAACGAAAAAGGAAGGACTGAACACTTTACGCAGCCAAATTATCTCAATCGGTGTCTGATTGGCCAGCATTTCGCGCCCAAACCGTTAACGCCAATCAGATTTGATCGCGTCTTGCCGCTAATTCCGCCAATTTTCATACTTTTCGTCTCTCTCTTTCCTCTTGTTGTCGTGTTCTGTCAGAAATAATCGAAAATGAATTCTTTGCGACGAAAAAGGACGATCTGATGGCAAAAGTTATTTCTGCAACGTTCGACATGTTCCGATAGTTTCTCGCGCCTTTTATGAGACTGCGCGATAAAAGTATCATAGCTGGTATCACTTAGGGTGCGTTCAAAAATCCTACTCATAAGAGAGTACAATTAAATTAACCAATCAGAATAAAAAAGCAATTTTTATTCTGATTGGTTAATTCAATTGTACTCTATCCCATGAGTAGGATTTTCGAACTACTTTGATGGAGAACATACGTAACGGAGTAGTCCATTCAATTACTTTTACAAAAGAATATACTATTATTTAAATTCGTGAGAAGAGATTCAAATTACGTCTGATGTTATATTTACTTGTGCATTACTTTGTCTCTTTTTTTTTTACTTCACATTTATAAAGTATATATTTTTATTTTAAATAGAAATTGCGATATTTAAGAGAAATTACATTTAAAAAAATAAACTTTAATACAAACCTCTATTTAACCTCTATTCTTTTATATATTTATAATTACTATTACATATATATATATATATATATATATATATATATATATATATATATATTCAACTTGGAATTAAAAATAACCTTTTTATGGATTATTCTTTTAGTATACTATATATGCAGATTGTATCTTACAATGTTTCAATCTAAATACTTAAATCTCTGTTTCAATCTAAATTGGCCATATCGTTATACATACCTGAGTAAATAAAAAATATAAACCTTGTGTGATAAGTAGCAATGCCAATGATCTGATCCTGCAGTGTGATAAAAGTATCTTCGTATCTTCTCATACAAAAATTTATTATTTTGCAGAAATTAATACGCTAGTGTGTGTGCAACCTGTAGCGCGGCAACTTTAAACACAGGCTGTGGTCGGGAAAACGCTTCAAAGCATCCAGAGTGGGTCTGTTCTTTTCAGCTGCACTGCTGCACTAGTGCAATTAGTTAGAGAAAGAAAATATGTTTGTCTTTTTCTAATTTATTGCACTAGTGCAGCAGTGCAGCTGAAAAGAACAGATCCAGTGTCTCCCCCACCGTAGCCACAGTCGTGTCATGCGCAATACACATTGCTTTCAGTCAATTCAGTGGCTGTCAAATCCGGTGAGAGGTTAACATAGTGATAGTGTACAATAATTTTATGAAATAAACGATCGTAAAACGCATGAATGTTATATAAATTTGTAACATAATGGATCCAGCTTTACTTAGAGAGCGAGAGCTCTTCAAAAAACGTGCTCTAACCACACCAATGTGAGTATATTCATCTTGTTCTATTATGTGATTGTTTAACCAATATACACATCATATATATATGAGTTAAATTGTATAATTCAATCACAATTTATAGGAATTTAGTGTAATTTAATTTTGTTTTAATTATTTCTGCTCATAATTGGGAGATATAAATATGCAGTGCATCTCACAATATCGTACTTGTAACCTCACATATTAAAATATTTATTTATTCAAAAATCTATATATGTATCTTATATATATATTTTATGTGTAATTGTAGAGTTGAAAAGAAGAAACAGGAGAAAGAAACTACAAAAGATGAAGCGCCAAAGAAAAATGAACCACCAAAGAAGAAACTTAAAGTATCGTCCATATCTACGGGTCCTAAATTGGATATGGTCAATTATAAGACCATGACTGGTAGTACACAATACAAGTTTGGTGTATTAGCAAAGATAGTGAAGCACATGAAAGCAAGACATCAGGACGGAGATGATCATCCATTAACGATGGAAGAGATTTTAGATGAAACTAATCAATTAGATGTTGGATCAAAAGTAAATGATGATTTGTACTATATGACACAGTATAACATGACAAAATATTCTTTTATAAGTATAAACATATTTGTTTTATATATTATTATAAATTTATATGAATGAATCTATTTATTAATTATATTACAGAAAGATATTTTGTTGTATTGCATTGTGTTGTGTTCTATAATCATGTAATGTATATTTAATTTTAAATATTGATTATTTTTATGTTATTTCTTCATTTAAAGCAAGTTGTTTTTCCTTGTATTTTCAGGTTAAACAATGGCTGCAAACTGAAGCTTTATTAAAAAATCCTAAAATTGAAGTAACATCGGATAGTAGATTTGCCTTTAAACCTATGTATAAAATAAAAGATAAGAAGTCTTTATTGAGACTTTTGAAACAACATGATTTAAAGGGCCTTGGTGGTATATTATTGGAAGATATACAGGAGAGTTTACCACACTGTGATAAACATTTAAAGGTAAAACATATGTAGAAATCTATTTTGTAGCCATTTGTCTTGATAAATATATTAATTACATATATTAAAAATATTAATTACATAATATATTTCAGAGTTTACAAAATGAAATTTTATATATTACACGGCCGCTCGATAAGAAAAAGATTGTCTTTTATAATGATAAGACGGCACAGTTTCCTATAGATGAAGAATTTCAGAAACTGTGGAGAGCTGTTGCAGTAGATGCCATGGATGATCAGAAAATAGATGAATATCTTGAAAAACAAGGTATTAGATCAATGCAAGATCATGGACTCAAAAAGCCAGCACCAATTAAACGAAAAAAGCCTGTTAATAGAAGGAAACAATTTAAGAAGCCAAGAGATAATGAACATTTAGCAGATGTTCTGGAAACATACGATTAAAGAAAGATGAGTATATTCCACTTTTTAAAGGAATGTGAAATAAAAATGTAAAAATTATCTCGAAATAATTAGTATTAATCAAATAAAACTAACATTATTCAATTTATAAAAAAGTATATTAAATGTATATTAAAAGTATATTAAAAGTTCTATTTTTTTTTTTAATATAATTTTAGTCTCATTTTTCAATGTCAGTGAGCCTACAATTAAGAAAATGTTCATTGCTGATATAAATGCTGGATTGACTAATTGTTTGCATTGCACAATATATGCATAATTTCATTTAATTGTAAATCAGAAAATGCAAACTAGAAGAGATTAAATGTATATATAAAAAATGATATATAATGGAATTAATAAAATCATGTCCATATTCAGATATGTGTGAATCTCTTGTTTGATATTAAAAATATTATACATATAATTAATTCTATTATAACATCAATTTTTTATATATTTAATCTCTTTTAGTTTCTCCTGATTTACAATTAAATGAAATTATGCAACTTTAAACAGTATGAGTACTAGAGTAGATGTTGATTAATTATTAGTGCCATATCATATTATATATTATTAAATTATACATTATTCCATATTGTCACATTAAATCTTCCAAAGATTTGTGATTTTTAGATTTGTATAATTGCACTTGTATTTCAGGTCTTTAATAAATATGTTTCATGATTTATAATATTTCATAAAAAATTTGAAAAACACAATATTTTATTTTAAAAATTTGGAGAATACAAAGAAGTTTTTATCTCTTTGAAGAACACAGCACTGCCATTCAAAACTAATAGAATAATTAAGAATTATAAGATTTAAAAAACTTTACTTTTTTTTATAATTCTTGCATTTATTCATGAATTAATAAATTAATCAACAGTTCTATTTGATTGTTATCTATTATTATTATACTTTATTTTGTTAGTCTATATATATTTTTTTTTCTTTCTTTAGCTATAATTCTTTAATGTTTTGTATTTAAAATATTGAATAAATAATTCTAAATAAATAATATTATAAATTATAATAGATAATAATTGAAAAATTTTCCGATGGAAATTATATAAATAATTTATTTGAACGAGAAGGAGAAAAAGATTACGATTTTACAGTTATAATTTATTTTAGATATAATAAATAAATAAAATATTTATTGTTACATGATATTTCATTATCAGTACAAAATAAATATAGTATTTAAGTCTCAATATATTTATATAATAAATTTATATAACTATTTATATATTGATTACACACTTTTATAATCAGCCTTTCTTTATAATATACTATAATATTTGCTTAATTTTGTTAGTATGATAAAAAATTACAAAATATATTATTTTGTATAATATACAGAAATTTAAAAAATTAAAAGCAGTTGATTGTTTTTTTGTATATTATGCTTTTTTCTGAATTTTTTCTAATTTTTTTTAATTTCTAGATTTTTTTAGTACATTTTGGAATTTTAATTTTAAGTTGAGATTTAGATAATTTTTTATTATATATATATATATATATATATATATATATATATATATTATTTATAAAGATTTGTACATTCTATATGTTATTCAATATATATATAAATCTTATTACTGTACAAATTTGAAACTATGATATTTTCTTTGGCGTTTTTAGTATTGTAGAAAGTGTGAGAAACAGGACAACTGAAAATTATAATTTTATTACATAATGATAAAAAATTATACTTTTGAAAATGTCCTCTTTTTCATACTTTGCTACTTTTCTAGAACAGTTGTATTGGTCTTTTATCATAAGACATCCATTTTTTTATACATGCAATATGCAAATACTTAAAATAATGATGTTATTCTTTTGGTAGAGCAGAGTCACTTTTTCCTCGCGAATAAGCACGCGTTGCTTTACTACCAAGCATTCTATCTAGCAAAGATTGTTTATTTCTTCTTCTAGCTGCGAGAACTTCTCTGCATAATTCGTGGAAGGATTCTGCGACTTGAGCAACCTATACAAATTATTGTTACTGTTTTAAGAAATTTATAATTCACAATTCTAAATATTAAATAGAATTTCAGTTACCTGCTCAGCAGCAGTTATTTCACTAAACCAACATTCAAAATCCTTCGCTAATATCTCTCCTTCTTCAGCACTGACTTGCCGTAAATGAACCATGTCAGCTTTATTTCCAACAAGAGCAAGAGGCATTGCAGCTTCAGGATCAGCCACCGCTAAAGCTTCTTTTGCCTTTCTAACAAAATTGAAAGAGTTTCTATCTGTTATTGAATAAACTAGCAACAAACCGTCGGCCCATTGCAAAGTTTCCATTGTTGGCAATTCACCCTCACTCTGAAATACCATTTAAGGTACATAAGAAAAATTCTTTATAATAATAGTTAGTTAATATATGTCTGAGATTTTCTTAAAAAGAAATTACCTTTGGACATGTATCTAAAATCTCAAAAAGAATAGGTTCTCCATCAACTAAAACTTCATGTTTGTATCTGGTTTCTAGAAAATAAAATAAATTTCCACTTAATTATATTAATAATAACTATATTTTATTTATAGTGTAAATATGAAATTTACACTATAATGAAATTTCCACTTAAATATATTAATAATAACTATATTTTATTTATAGTGTAAATATGAAATTTTGATTAAAAATAAATTTATGTTAATTGCGATAACTTATAATATTATAACAAAACATTTTACAACACATAATTTAAATTTATTTTTAATTCTTTAAAAAAATTAAACCAATAAGTAATAATTATATAAATAAATGAATTCATTAAATGAATTTAATCAATTTTTCTTTCATTTATATAAAGAAGATTGAAAATCAGCTAATGTGAATTCTTATCATTTACAACGAGTATTGTTTATAATTGCCAGTTGATTTATTAGATTTAACTCAACGCGTGCTTATTTTTATATTTTATTCAAATACAAAGTATAAATTTTTGACATAAAAGAAAATGCATCAATAAAAGTAAATTAACACTTTAATTAATATTTTTATTATTGCTTTATTCTTATATCTTTATATATATATCAAATAATTAATAATATTTTCTTCCTTTCATTTATTTACAATAGTATGATTTGATAAATATTTTCTTAAACCATAATAATAACTACTCTTACAACTGTTTTTTATGATTAAAAAATAATAAAATAATTTTTATATTTATCAGAATATAAAAATCTCTCTTGACAACCTTCTAATTTTTTCATGTAACGAAAAGAATATTTGTGATTTGTAGATTTAACTACATGAATAAAAAGAATTCAACACAATTATCTATGCAACTTTTCATAAATACTTTACGCAAATATTTAAGAGCTAACTGGCCAAATTTGTATATCGTTAAGCAGTCTCTCAGATTGAATTTAGTTTAACATGACTAACTTGACACGTACTCCTCTTTTACCTATGACCGTGTCTATATTTGTATAAAACGATAAGTTTTGTTCGAGTGTGTTGTATCAACTTTGTATTAGTACTCGTTCTGTCTAGTGTCAAATTCGTCGACGATAAATTTAGAACAGACACGGCCTGAGGTATGCAGAAGGAGAATATACGCAACTTTGTAGTCGCGGATTACAGCTGCTGGCAATTTTTCAGAACTTGTGCGATTCTATCATATGAAAAAAAATATATATGTATGTATGTATGTATGTATGTATATACATACATACATACACACATATATATATATATATATATATATATATATATATATATTAACATACATAAGTTCTATAAGTCATACAAATTGATAAATTGGTGATATTGGCATTATGATCTTTCTCACCTGATTGATGATCGTATTCCCCAATGTATCTTCTCGTTAAAAATCTTACTGTCAATGCTGAAATATGATTAAAATATATCTTATATATATGACTAATTTAAGCGCGACATAATTATGTTGTACGTGATATAATATAATTGAGTTGGTAAATTGTAATGACAGTCCACAGGCTACTCTCATATCTCGAACTCGCATATATCACAGTAATTTCATCCATCATTTATTACAGTTGTATCTATTTAGAGAAAATTAACGTAGAAATACCATTTTAGGCAATAATTTTATATAATAAAATGTAATTTAATATTTAACTACTTAATTTTTTGTAAAAAAAAGTAATATAAAAATTAGTATTTAATTTTATTAATAATTAATATCTAATTAATATATTTCTAATCGCAGCAAGAAATTTTATTAATTACAAAATTAATTAAAAATTAGCAAGTAAAATTCAAAGCGCGATAGGAAAAAGAAAATCGGAGCGCAAGGAGAAAGAAAAACTTGTGAATTTATAATTAATTTACTTGTCAATTTATAATTAATTTTTTAATTATTATTATTTAAGCTAATTTTTTTATTTTAATTAAGAAATTTTATGGACATTATCATGTAACTCTCTCTCTTTAATATATTTAATTATAATTATCATGTTTTATTTTAATGTAAATTAATTGATGATATAATTCATTTTATGTATGTGTACACATATTTAAAAGGTTGATATTTTTTCTCTAATTTTTGAAAATAACAATTTTCAATTATAGAAAAATTTGTATGAATCCGAAATTGAAACATCAAAGCGAGACTTTCACTGCTATATAGTGCTCAATCTTCAACGCGTTGATTTTGTCCATTCCGTTAGTCTTAATGTCTCACATGAACGTGATAAAGAAAGGTTGATCATTACTTTGATATACGATTTTGCACGATATGATACTGCATCTAAACATATTGCGATTCGATCTCGGGAAACGAGAGAACAACCTAGTGACCTGCTTCTGTGAGGTATACCACACTATTTTTATCACAAACCCAAACCTGCCATGGCGCCATAAAATTTTGCGCGAATGATGCGTTAACGCCACTATGGTTTATTTCATCTCAAAAAGCGATGGACACCAAATTTTTATCGAACATAAATTATCTATATACATTTGAGTGATATATAGCCAGAATTTAATTTTTTGACATTATAAAATTTACATTTTGCAAGATTAATGAATTTATAAATAAATAGATTGGATAATATATTGGAAAAAACAAAAAGGTAATTTTTAAGCCAAACTGTAAATTTAATGTAGTAAATTTATTATTATTTCACATATATACATATTTTGAATATATAAACAAAATAAATGTATATATTCCATGGATTCAAAAGTTAAAGTGTACATTAAGATATATTTCTATGAAACATAAAATGTATTGGGATCTGTTACTTGAGATATTTATACATTGTTTATAATGTAGGTTAATTTTGATCGACAGAACATGTGAACGTTTTGAAATTTAGTATAACGATCAAATTATTTGCATCGGAATTTGTAACTCAAAACATTGGGATGTTACTCTTCTCCTTGATTTAATCTGTCAGATCAGAATTTAGAAATTTTGGATGTGCCAAATTTTTGGGAAAAATTTAATTTTAAAAAAATTGAAATCAATAGAACATTGAAACATATACACATAATTTTTAAGTGAATTTAAAAACTATACATTAATATAAAAAATTACTGTATTCAAAATAGAATATTATATATTGTATGAATCTAAAAAAAGGAACTATAATAATCTCGAAAAGATAAAAATCTCTTTTGAATGGATATCTCTTTTGAAACTTCTTATTTAAACAATATCTGTTTATTGTAAGTTATATTTTTTTATTTTATTATATTAAATAATACAGTTGCCTCAAATGTATAAAAGATAATATCTCGATATGAGATTTCTCGATCATAGAGAGATATGTTATCTCTCTGTATGATCGAGAAATCTCATATCGAAAGCATAACGAAATTTCAAGACTCAATGATGATTCAAGAAGGAATTTTAGCAAAATTTTATAAATAGCAGTCATGTATTTTGCAACCGATAGAAACGCACATCTCTCTAACGAAGACCAATTATTTATTCACCTATGCCTTTACCATTTGCCATTACCAAAAATACATACGGTTGGCACTCTCAGAGTCCTTAACGCATATCTCCATCACGCTTGATGTGCTACTTATATGAGTATTTGTATTTGAATTTAGAACGTTAATATTTACGTTTTATTATTCTTATGTTATATTATAACGCGAGGTTTTTTCCTTTTTGAAATACATTTTTTAATTTTATTCTCCTTGCGAGTGCTTACACACATGCAGGCAATGACGCGATTTTACACATATAAACAGTGTATGAAATGGATTTAGTCGTGATTATATGCCAAGATTTTTCGATTTATGTCAGATTCGCATACGTCCGAGACTAGAGCTTAAAATTGTCGCGACTATTTGATATTTCATCCGTCACTCGTTAATATGCATATATTTATATATTGATACAAACAACAGATTAAAACAACTACACGAAATTGAAATAAGTAATAAAATATTTTTAAAAGCTTGCCATTAAAATTTTAAGATATCTTGTTTGATGTAATTGTCATTGTCATTGTCATTTTTCTATCCATAACATTAGGATTTGTTTAAAAATTATTACTGTGTATAAATTGTTAAATAATTATAAAAAACCAAGCATCATTTTTTATTCAGTGATCTGTTGCTTTGTTCTTTTTATTATCACATTTAACTGTCTCAATAATCTTTATATTTTTGCTTCTTAATGCGTGATACACATTATTTTATCGAAATAAACTTTTTTATCACAAAATATTAATATTGATGCCGTAGTGTGTATTCTTCAAAGTTTTATCACATTAATATTGATATCAACATTGATATGGAAAGTCCAACGAAATTTCATTATGAACTTTAGTTCTATCGAAATGCATTCACTTACCGCTTTTGCCAACTCCTGGTGCTCCTATCACAGCTACTTTGACTTCGCACAGCGAACTCTTCTTCCTTCTGATGCCTCTAATTGCATTTGACGTCATACTATGAACATTTGTTACTGCCGGAAAGAAAATTAGACAGGACGTCGTCAAACTATCGTGCGAAAATGTCTAATTATCTAACAGAGTCTTCAAATGCATATTAAATCATTTTTTATCCTGTCAAAAGGATATCCCTAAATTTACAATTATTACTATTATTATATTATAGTCATTAGCAATTATTATAATTATTATTATTACTACTTTTATTATTATTAATATTATGAATTTAAAAATTTATATGCTTGTGTTAGAAAATTAATTATTTTTGAATAGATTATTCGTGTGCTCTTTTTAAGTTTAACTTATTATTAAACTTTATTACGCGAGAACTAACACTTCGTTGTTTTGAGTTATCGAGCCACGTCCATTTACCGAGTGTTCCGTTTCCTCTATAACGTAATAGAAAAAAGCGAAGATTTTTATAGTACTTCGTGGCATCCGCCGCTTGTTTCTCTTTTGGGCGCGTGTTTGAATAAGTCGTGCTATATACTTCGGAAGAGGAAGGGAGTGGCAAAGAACGTCTGTAGGAAGATGTAGAAAGAAAGAGAGAGAGAGAGAAAAGGATAGAGCGAGAAGCGCAAGGAAGAGAAGGCAAGATGTGACGGGTACATTAATAGAACAGTTTGCACGCACATGTCTCGTGGAATTTTAAGAATTTCTCTTCCACTGTCTAACAATGTACCAAAGTTACGAATATCGGATACGAGATTGTAACAATAGTGGGATTTATTACGAAATTCTCTTGAAATTTCAATGATGTAGACTTGATACCATTTCTAATCAAATTTATTAAAATTTAGTGACTTTCATGGAATTTCTATCTAATGATAACATGTCATTAATTATTATTTATTAATTTATTATTTATTATTTATTATTTATTAAATACTGACAATTAATAAATCTGCGAGAGATAAATTGACTTTGTGCGCACGCAAAATTAAGCGCTCTTCTATTAATTGTTAAAGCATTAATGTCTGCACCGACCTGTATTTAACGATATACTTTCTTAAATGAATGCACGTTAACGGGTCTCTCGAAGCATTTCACTGCATAACAAAGTAGCTGCGATCATATAGCGTACATATAAATAGACGCTGCTATAAGGACATAAAAATATGGAAACAAGCACATCTAATATAAGTAGACAATATTTAACAAAACTAAATACAGCCTTTTTTCATAAAAAAAAATACTTTTTTTATTAGCATACAACTAAAGAAAATAGTTTTTTATCCATTATAATATTATAAGAATTTAAATCATCGCATAAAAAATTGTGTTATACAAAAATTTAAATATAAAAATTTAAATATAATATGCATTATTGTAATAATATAATATCTTGTGAATTTAAAATAAGTATATACTCGATAAAAATTTTGCATTACATAAAAGTATAAATGATTATCAATATACGGTGATTTAGACGAGAGAAGCTCGAAATGTATTCTCAATCATCTTATTTGTACATATATAAAAAAAATAATAACAATACTATTTTTTTATACATATAATTATATATAATTAACATATAAAGCATATAAGTAATTTGACTGCAACTTACCACACTACACTTATCAATATTATTTAATTATCCTCCTTTACTACACGTTCATCTAATGATTCATATCACAATCAAACTGCTTGCCGAATAACGAATATTACAAATTAGGAATGTACATATAATTGTGATTCGAGTGTGAAATATAAAGTGTGTCGCTCAAAGAATTATTTAATTAATATCGCAATCAAAGATTAAAAATCGAACGCTTAAACTTGTTTTTGACGATCAAACGTAGCATTCTTGTATTTTATTTTTGCCAGATTGCACAATCAAATCATATGGAAATGAGAAAAGAAATAGATTGGCTGATGATTGCGCGTATATCACGTGGACTGATTCAAACGTTTCATTTGAATTCGCGATGCGAACCGCTATGGCTCTTGGTCTTGGCGCGACTGTCTCGTCTTATTCTCTTCTGGAGACTCGCGAGACCCGCCGATTCCCTTATTGCTCTTATGTACACGCGGTATCCGCTTCCGGTACAGATGTGCGCGCAGACGAAGGTCGAGAGATTCGAAACGGCCGATGTCCCCGAAGTGCCGCGACGTGCCGTCTTCACGTCTTGATAAAATTGGAACGCGTCGTGGACATACGCGTCGTAGCACGATTTGAAATGAGAAATCAGTATGTAATCAATTATTTTTATTTGAAAACGCGGAAGCTTCGCCAAATCTTGATTAAATATTGCAATTAGTGACAATTATAAAAATTACATCTATTAATAAATTGATGGAATAACATTTATAGCGAATAAAAATCTAATACTGATACGATGACTTTTAAGATTGATTCAAATTTATGATCTGGTTGAAGATGCCATTTTTTTGAAATATTTTCTGTTTAATGATAAAATTGTTGATGCATATATAAAGCACAAGATAAATGTAATATTGTTTTATGGATAATTGTATTTTATTATGTTAAAAGGGGAATAAAGAAGAAAAAGAATTATAAGTTTACTCCAATATGACAAATGATGAAAAGGATATAATAAGAATTGTTGCTATGTGAATTTAAAAATATTGTTCTACAATTGTTGATAATTTAACAATGTGATATAACGTTAAAATTATTTTTATGTTACTTTCACGAATAAAAGTAAAGATACGATTCTCTACGTTTATCGACATCCTTACTACAATAGATACAATTCGTTCGCTTAGAGGAGCCACGTGTTGGTGGACTTGAAAATTTCCTCTTTTTCGATCTCATCGATCTGCTCTTGGTGTCGTCTCGAGGCTTCTGGACAACCACCAAAGAACCAGTTTACAACTCGCAGCAGAACTGGTTTTATTCGATCTAAATAACAAATCAATTTAATTATAATCAGACTTTTCCTGGAATTAATTTACATTTATTTGCCGTAATAATTATAATAATTGGCTATAAAATATCATCTTAATAAACAGCCTCAATATGTAATTTCCTCTGGAATGTAAACATTTAATGTTTGTTCGTATTATTTTTATACATTATTATATTTAAAAGTATCGTCAAACAGAAAACACAAGACTCTACTACAAATGTAATAATTTTTTTAGCTATCGATTAAGTTTGTTTTAGAATATTGCGAAAAATTACTGTCTTTTCTTATATAACAATACTAATATATATACTAATATATGTGTTCATTTCTTATTAAAAGATTTTAGTGCATTCAATTATTACATACTCGTTATAATTGGGGGATTCTCGTAACAATTTTGAATGATATTATTTGTATCATGAAGCAATTGGCGATTTTCTCTTCGACTATCAAATAACTCGCTTTTTGTAAAGACTTCCTCTATATGTAAAAAATTACCATAATATATTCCTATTATGCAATATATACATGCGAAATATAAATTATACCGTAATGCGAATCTACTATTTGCCCATTTATAATTCTTGTCATGCAATTTTTTTTAGATTGATGTTGGCAGCCATCTGCAATTTTGTCGCGCTTCTGGAAAAAACACAAGAAAATCTTTTACATAAATTATGGAACTTGACATATTATTTTGATTTGAAAAAAATATTTGTATGTTTGTATAATAACTATAAATCATAAAATTCATAAATTTCTTCATAACTTTTATGTACATTTTTCATAAAGGCATTTTTTACCTGTTTCGTCATTGATAAATAATTATTATTGTAATCTTGATGATCATTGTCTTCGCACATTGATTTATATTCGATGTCATTATTATTAATAATTTTTGAAATGTGATCTTTTTTTTGAGATGAAGATGATTCTATTTCCTGCGATAAAAATTTGCGTTAGAAATAAATATATGTATTATATTATTATATTATTAATTAATATAATTAATATAATTAATAATAAATATAATATAAATATATGTATTGTATTATAAATTAATGTGTCTTTGAGTTATATATTATGACATAATAAATAATAAATTATGTGAATATTTTTTATGTAGACTGAACGAATTTATGCTTTTAATATCATAATTTAATCTGTATTACATCTGTAATGTTTAGTTTTTAATATACGCGAATAATAATAATTAATGTAATATTTAAAGTATTTTCACTGTGATATTCTTACAATATTTTCTGCAACATAATTTTTATGATTTCTAATGAATTTTTCTTGTTGCAGATCAGTATTGCCATTCATCCTATCATCTGACATTTTACGTATCGTAATCTTTGTTTTCGGAGGAGAATCATTCAAAGTTATTACATTCTTCCTTTTGTATTTCTCATCGATTATCGACTTCTGCTGTGAGCTATCACTGTAAGCATTATTATTATTTTTATCTTATCTTATCTTTATCTTATCTTTATCTTATTAATATTTCATAATATCATTGTACTTACCTCGTATGATTATGACAAGAAAATTTCGAAACTAAATTTATAAATACAATTCGATAAATACAATTCACATAACATTTGAACCAAGTAGTTAAAAACATATGATAAAATTTTATAAATTTTCATATAAGAACGCAAATATTTTTAATAAGAGAGATTTGCGATCAAATAATATACTTGATCGTTCATATTTCTATATATCGGTTAAATGTCATGGAGACATGATGTGATTTAGAGACAATATATAAGTATAAAGGGTCAAGTATGTGATTTGAGAGCATGTGTTGTTCTTATTGAAAATGTTTTTCAATAATTTATAAATCGGAATACTTGATTTCATAAACAATCCGATAATAATGTTTTTAAATAATGTGTTCAATCAGATATATGTACATGATTGATCTTGTCGTTGCACCAGATTTTGATGATATATCCTTCAGGATTGAATTTGGATGACGATGATTGTGATGTGGATGACATTCATGTTTTTCTTCAGTATTATGCTTTATATAAGTTTTCCTCTTCTCGGATTTGCTATAAGATTTTTATATTTATTAGGGCTTTAGAATATTAATATTTGCAACTTAGTAATATTTGAATAATAAAGCCATTCTCGATGCAAGTGTATATCGTTCTTTATAAACCAATTTCATAAATAAAATATAAAAGAAATGATGTATCCACAAAAATATATCTGACCTAACAAATTTATAGTTATTGTCATCAATATTTATTTTATCAATGTGTTTCTGTTCATAATTTCTTGTATTTTCTTCGCATACTTTTCGGTATAATTCTTGTATTCTTGGCTTTTTATTTTCATCTTGCTCTTTTATCATCATTTTTTCGTATTCAATTTCAGTCGCAGTTAGGGCAAATTTCAATCCATTTGCAATTAGATCTATCAAAGCGCAGCATATTTTCCGAGCATCTAAAAAGTCGTGTTTATTCCTTTAGGTAAAATAGATGTATAAATGTAATTCATATTTATGACTCTAAATAAGAAAGAATAACAGGAATAATTTTAAAATTGGTTACAAAATCATATTCTCTCTTTTTGATTATACAATAAAATATATCAACTACCTAAAGAAATAGATAGAGAAAGAGACAGAAAGAGAGAGAGATTTTTGCTATTAAAAAAAAATTAACTGTAATATTTCAGTGAAAAGAGATTTATGATTAGGTAATATTCTTGTAATATTTACATATTACATAAGTTTTTAATTATATTCGAAAGTCTATCAAAAAAATCCATGAGTGACGAATGAAAGTTCTTCTTCTCTCTCCTTTCACTCAACTTTTTTTTCTTTTTACTTCGACTTTTTTTTCTTTTTACTACTCACACAAGCGTGACTTGGGCACATAATACAAAAGGACGCTACACAACATTAACACGATTAACGAGAGGCGCTTCAAGTAAGTGATCCACTCAAGCACGCTGAATTTCTCATCAAAATAACCTAAGTAAATAAGAAAGTCATTTGGATGATACGAGAGAACATTACTTTCTTTTACCATATCCATTATGCAATTTAGCAGACACGCATTGCATAGCGAGCGTAACGATAAACACTGTAAATTTCATGATCGACGAGATATGCAATTTTTTAAGTATTATTTTTCATGTTTTGATCCTTAATCAATTGGTATTCCAAGAATAGAAAAAAGAAAGGAGATTGAACAGTGAACACGTGTGCACTCTGAAGAGATGTCCATGACATAGGAGGCAGTTTCACATAGGAGGCTTCGTTTTGAACATTCATGTCAAGCTACAAGCTAGTTATGCATTAATTATGCATTAGTTATGTTTTAATTAACCATACTTTGGTTTGGTAACCATACTCTCTAAAAGTGAATCAGTGTATTATCACTTTAATCAGTGCTGTACTTAATAATTGCAATCAGTGAGTATTTACTGTTTTTCAGTGATAATACACTGATTCACGCTAGTGAAAGTAATATATATATATACTACTTTCACTGGAGCGAGAGAATCAATGTATTATCACTGAAAAACAGTAAATACTCATTGATTACAAGCAGTTATAAGTACAACACTGATTACAGTGATAATATACTGATAATACACTTTACTTTTAGAGTAACGAGTAATATTTTCGTTTTAATTACACTAATATATCGCGTAAAGAAATAGTAAATCATGTAAGATTTATATCTTAATTTTTTATTATGCTCTGTAACTTTACAATATAATACAAAGGAAACATGTCATATGTATCAACCGCCTTTACTACAATCTAACGAGGGTGGGTTACACACACACGTAAACGTACGAAAAAATTGTCTCGTACGAATCGGCGCGATAGATTGAAAACACAGCGTGCGCAAGCGGGGACTCGCACTACTCGCTAAATAGTGTCTCTCTAAAATAGTCTAAAGTAAAGCAACGTCGCTTCTCGTAACTTCCGCAAGGCTACCCGAAGACTAATATCTCCACAGAATTCGATCGAAGAAGAAGCGACATATTGAACTATCTAATAAGAACACGATTTAAAGATATATTATTATCTTTTACGAAATACTGTTTTAACTCGATATACATAAATTCTAAATAAAGTATGACAAACTGATAAGGACATTTGTTAAACGCTCATCCGTGTCGGCTAGTCCAGAAAGATTCCATATCACCACCATCTAGCAATTTATTCGCAAAAACAAAATACTGAACGCTCACATTCAAATGACGAAATTCTGTCATGACGAAGAATCGATTTCGCGAATTTCATAAGTTTTGAGACTACGATAACTCTTACCGACAATCATTACACATTACAATATTTGCTAAATACAGACTGCTCTATTAAATATCATCAGTTTACTGGATTAAGCGAATTCATGCATAATAATGTAAATAATACAATATTATATAATAAAATAAAATAGAGTAATAATATAATGGTAATGTATGCGAATCATACGCGCGTACACGTGGCGAAAGAAAAATAATGCTATCTTTTATAGCGAAGATAACCTTGTGATATGTACTTTTGTTCACTTGGCGCCTCATAAAGAATACTCGAGGGCATAAGATTGGGCTGTCATGGAATTACTTCATCCACAAATGATTCATTATTCAATAAATCCGTGCGATTATCTTGACGCAACAATACATTATGTTGAGTGACATTCGCGTACACCGAAGATTTGTTGTATTTTACGTGCGTAACTGAGGCGCGCACACGCGTACAACACATTAATGAACGATTTTATACAATGGCAGATAAATTGATGAGCGCAACGAGGATGATGATAAATTCTATCGAACCTAGAAGTTGAAATCTTGATGCAATTAAAGACTTTATTTAAAACTAATATATCTTCCAACCTATAATTTTATAAAAATCACCAAGCATTCTCAAAATATGCCATTCAAAGGTGCGTCACTAGATCTTATTAAAATAAGCACAGCAGATTATCAAGAATTAGTGTTACCAAAGAAAGTTATTAATCTAAAACACATGATCGACTTCAAGGTTCGATGATTCGCAAAAGGAATAATCGAATCAATATAACGAAGATGCAGTAGAAGTTCTCATTCTTACGCAAAATGCTTCGCTTTCATTTTATTGACAGCATTTGTGAGGTGGGTCATCTCAGTGTTGAGTTGAGAAATCAGATCCTCCAGTCTATCAACGCTATCGAGGACTTCCACACGTTGCGTATGAGGATTGTATCTAACTTCGAATGGCCGGCTCATGGTGGCCACCTGCGAGAGAAAGACTCGTGATTAAGCTTATTTATTCAAATAAAAAAATTACAGACAGCGGAAAAAATTGGTTATGTTTATCAGTGATTACTTTCTTCTTGTACAATAAATTATGAAAAATTAATAGATAGATTGATTAAGAATATTGTGAAAAGAATACAGAAAAGAAAAATTATTTCCAATTATTATTCAATTAATTAATTTCCTTATTTTCGAGCTAATCAATAATAATAATAAAATTAAAGCAAGTTTTGAAAAATTCCAGAAAATCCATTCTATGAATTAATGAGCAGGCAATCATTCTAACATATGATAGAAATAATTAACGCTTACCCAGCGACGGAATTTTTCCTTGGCATCTTCGAAGCTTTCGGCTACGTAATATATCGGTTGATATTCCTGATCTTGATACTTCTGGAGAGCAGTAGTTGAAGGATCGAATGGTCGATGCTCACATTTATCGCTCAATGCGTGCAAGAGTTCACCATAGGCTGACAACAAACCAGCACCATAAGCTTTGACTTCGGGGCCTTCCTTGCAGAGACCAAACTCGATCGTAAACCAGTAGATAGTGGACAGTTTCTCGATTTCCTCATCCGAGGCACCGAGGGATGCCAGACCGATTTCTTGTGAGAATTGAGCAAAGCTAGGATCGGCCAGAAGCGGCATATGACCCAAGAGCTCATGAATGCAATCTCTGCAAATAGAAACAAGCACTTGAAGATCTACATCGCATGTTTGTTTTAAAAAATCTGACATTTCGCGTTTGCATATTTATCACTCTTTTTTTGTCCACTTTAAATATATGAATAATTTTAATATACAATTTGTTCAGCAATGTTCAATTTAGCTGTTAGATTTTAATTAAAACATAAGTCGAACGTGCTAAAGTCAATTAAGATGCATCGCCAGATGAATGGCGCGAATCAAATTGAAACTTCAGAGAGCTATTTTATTCTTACAATCTGCAGAACTATCGACGGTTCCTGAAAATCGAACTGTAACGCGACTCGCTACGCGGAGAAACGATTTTGTAACTGCGGAACTGAGTTATCAACGCCATCGTGTCGTTAAAAGCCAATTAGAGTTCCATTACGAGCTTAGAGAGGTGCAGTAATTTTATTATCATCGTTCTCTGTGTACCGGGTGCAGGCTCCCGTCATAACGCAATATCGATTGCCTTGTAGTTTGACGCGAAGGGGCAACTGTAACATGGACCTCGACCGATCTTTACAATGTGCGATTTTTAAGATGCATTGCAGTTTTGTGCTCTCGCGACATGATATTTTATCAAGTCTCAATATATCGTGCACAATATTTGTAACACATATGTCATAAAAATTTATAAGATAATTTGTAAAATAGTACGTGCGTAATATATTCGAATGCCATCATCTCTGAATAAATAACATAATTTTTAAAAGAAAATTTTTGATAAGCTACATGAGAGAGAGAGAGTGAGAATAAGAAATAAAAAGTTTTAAAACACTTACGGTTCAGGAGTGTGATACGGGCTGTTAATATGACGAACGTATTGAGTGCTCTGGAATACCCTAAAGGCAAGGCTGGACAAGAAGTCACGCGCCGTCAAGAGACCGGCGGCCGGTCGAAGAGTAAATCCTGTATTTCTTTTCAAGAAATCGCTAATCTCCTGCAATTGTGGTATACGATGAGACTCAAAGATCCTCTCCTCCTGCAATTTCTTGAAGACTCTCTGGTATTCTATGCACGCGTGCTTGGGTACTAGATCCAGCACGGTGTTGAAAACGCGCGACCAAGTCTCGTTCTCCGTCTCGGTGTAAGGAATGTTGGGCATCGGGTCGCCATACTTGTAAGCGAAAGCAATTTCGGCAATGACCTTGCGACGGGCACGGTACTCCTTGTCGGCGAAGCCCGGATGACTCATGTCGAGATCCGGTTCGTACTTAGTCATCAGATGATTGCAATTGTCAAGGTCGGAAGCGTGACGGGGGAACCAGGGATCTTTGATGCTGACGGAATTGTCGGCGAGCAAAGTTACGCCATCCAAAGCCGAGCTCTGTCGCAGATTCCTAATCAGCTGAAGAAGGCTCTGCCTGTTCATGTCAATCTTGACCAAGACTTCGAATTGCAGACCCTCTTTCTTCGAAGGTCGCGACTCGACATGCGTAATTATGCCCTTGAAATTTTCGATCGTTTTTAAAATTCGACCCAAAGAACCAATGCCCTCTCGCAGTCTCAGCACCAACGCCGCTTTCTGCACGCTATGCTCAGTCTCCGGAGATTCCGCTATGGTCTTCGCAAGTACTACTTCCTCCTCGGTTAATCCAGAATCTACGGAAAATTAGTTTAATTTATTAGAAAAATTAGTTTATGCTTGATGGTTTTATCAAAAGGAATGTTTTATTTTATCATCTTTCTCAAATTTTTTAAAACTTCTCGTCACTAAGTGACATTATTTTAACATACGAGGGAACGTGAACATTTTATGTTATACACGATAGATAAAATAAAAAAGTGCTCGTGTCGTAATTTCGACCATAAAACTCTGCGGGAATGACTCTTTTCGTAACTTCTCGCGAATATCTTAAGTGACTTCCGCGGACGGTAATAATCGGGCAATTCAAAGTCCATTTCCGCATAGCGCCTTACCGTCACGTCGGAAACGGCACCGTCTCTATTCGACCGCGGGGGTGGCGAAAAAGTGGCAAAGTAGCCTTCATTGTCGTCGGCGCGAACGTGCCGGCGAGATGGAAGGCAATGCGAAAAGGAATAACCGTGTTACACATTTTTACGCGGGCTCGCTTGCGGGATCTCGAGAAAGGCTCTGCCCCGGTAATACGATTCTAAATGCACAAAGCGGCTTCAGAAAGCGGGGGCGGCTTGGAAAAAGATGGAAAAAGCTCGCGGACGTAATTTATCCCAAGTGTCGGTCGAGCACTCGTCCTGTAGCCTCGACAATGGCGACCGTTTCACCCTCCATTTATCGCGTCGTTCTATCCTATCCAGCGTACATCATACGCTTACTTTCTTCGCTTATTTCTTGTTTCGCTTATATATCATAGCGTGATATATCATAGCGTGATATTTCGCGACGCGAAAAATAAAAGTAACCGATTATTATCAAAAGGTACACTTACCGTCATCGTCGTCGTCATCTGGTTTTTCATCGCTATCCGATGAAGCCTCCGCTTTCGCTTCTGGAATTACAAGTGAATTCGTGCTCATGCCATATGCAACATTTATAAGAAACATTTATAAGAAAAGTCGTATTATCTTGGATACACTTGGTGGTATAGATACATTTGAGATATGTCGTTCAATTTCATGTAATAAGTATATTTTATAAATATATTCAAACATTGTCATATTAGATAAAATTGTCGTACATTAATAATGCTGTAATATGTTAAGTAAATATTTGTAAATGTTAATAATGCAGTCATATCTTATACATGTATCTCACGCTCCAGTTACCCAAAGATCCTTATAATTTATGCGCAATATTTATGTACAAACCTTCCTTCTTTGCTGCACAAATTAACGACTCTACTTGTTCATCGTCACTCGATGAAGCATCAACATAATGCTCTTCTTGGCCTTGTTGTTCCTGAGTACAAGTGATTGTCTGATCGGCGTTCGTGTCTATTCAATCCAACAAAGAAACATGTCATGCAACATCGATATATACACACATATATATACACATATTTTTATAAAATGTCACGCCTATAAAATTTAATATTATTTATGTGTATGTGCAAAACATATTGATACATAATAATTTCTTAATATTAAACATGCATATATTTTTATCTATTTTTTATACATACTTCTCTATCTTTGTCTCAAACAAATACATTGATAATATGATGATAAAAACATATAATTACATATAATTTAAAAATATTGATTGTACCAAAAAATATTCAAGAGCAAGACTCACCATTCGCTCGTTGTCGAGCTTCCTCGAGTACGCTCTGTTTTGTTTGCTTGACGACCAATGTCTCAAAGCGAGCATCGTCTACGAGGGAACGTCTTCGCGCTGGATACCCATTCTATAAATATAAATAAAGAATGTCATTTTATTATTCACCATTATGCATCAATAACAGCATCGAAAATGTTTTAACGTTATTTGTGCACAATTAAGTTTTAGATTTTATTTGTATAAAATTATTTTTGTTCTGATGCCTTTTATTATTCATGCATAAGCAATTATAGATTTGACTTAAAACTTTAAAGGGCGGATATCCTCTTGCCTTAATTAGCTAGGTTTCGCTTTCCGTGGTCTGTTCATGGCCACCTTTGACATGAAGCGACACGGAAATCTTGCCTGTCAGCTCGATTGGGCATCGCTTAAATCGAACAAGGAACAAAAGACACGGAAATGAATTTTCGCGACATCCGTCCTGCTGTTGAAGGATAGGAAATGAATTAATTCCGGCAGGAGATGGAGAGATACAAAGGAGCTTGATCGCCTTTCAATCTTTAGAAGTAGATAACATATGGAAAAGTTTTTTTTATTCTCATCGTGTGAATATAATGTAATTACGTAATGTAATTAAAAATGTTTAAATATTAATACATCTTTTGTTACATGAAATTGAAATTTTTTTACTTGAAATATTGGCATATTTTAAGGTTTTATATATTAAATAGGTTTTATATAATAGAAGAAACATTTATATAAATATTCTAAGAGACAAAGATAAAAATATTCTGAAAGACAAAGATATTAACATCTTGGAAAGCGGACAAGCATGCGCCACCGATCATTCAAATTCCCGGCTGTCACGTATTCACCGTCGTATCGGAAGCCTAGTTGCATTTTCTAGCAGAGTCGTCGGTTGGCACAGTTTAGAATAAGTATTTAGCAATCCCTTAACAACCCAAGTCGTGAAGTGGGCCAAGTACTTTGATGGAATGGATGAACGATGACTATGTCGGGAAATTGCGACATGAAGAGATAACGCACCGAAGGAACAGCGAATGTGTGACAAATCTCATCTCAATGAGACGATAAAGATTGAAATTAATTAATTCGCGTCGTAAAGCTTGTGCGAAGACGGCCATTCAGCATCATGAATTGCGACTGTTGTGTTTGAAAGTGACAAATATATGCAAATATTTGTCGATTAACCGGTTGAGGTGATGATAAGTCATCTGCGAGAATAAAGAATGGAAACCTGATGCGCGATGACAACTCGACAGCGCGAATCAAGCAAACGGCAGGTACCATAGGAATGTTGTTGTCGACCTTGTAGAAACGTACGAACATGCCGAAGATGCACAAGAAACTGACCTCGAGTCAACAAGTCGAGTAATTACCTGCTGTATGATGATGGAATCATATTCTAAACGAACAGGATCTCTCTCTTTCTCTCTTTTTCTTTTTATCTTTCTCTCTCTTTTGTTCGTGCTTCTCTAACATCTAATTAACCCTTTGCTAAAAAATATTTATTGCGCATGTATATATGTATGTATGTTTTAATTAAAACACGTCAAGTTAGACATAATCATATAGTTATTGCAATTGACATTGATAAATTAAATCTGCTCTCTCTTTGAATTGACAGCTTGAATTGATATTTGAATATCTATAGGCGCATTTACAGCATCGGGTAATTTTTTCGATTGCTTTCTATCAAAAGTTTCGATTTAGTCAATTATATAAATACACGTTTTTAATGCGTAGCAAATAATGTTAATATGATATATCTAGAATTGATTTAGCATTAAAATTGCGTTTGCATAATTCAACTTGTTACTAAATTAAAATAGCAATGCGACAAGTTTGAGGCGTGCGGAAAGAATTAAGAAAGAATGCAAAAGCGCATGTCAGGTATGATGAAATTCGAAAATAATTAGCCTTCGAGTATCGATCCGAACGGAAAACATACGAACCATGGCAATACATGTTACGTTGCGCACACATCAAAATCCCGACATTAATGTGACTCTTCTCACTTCGATAGAGAAAAAAAAAGAGCAAGAAGTACGATTAATCCAGTCGATTAATCAGATCGTGCGTATTAATCCAGTTGAAGCAGTTGGCGTTTAAATAAAGCAATTAGCATAACGGATTCGTATACGTAAATGCACACACACACTCGAATTGTATATGTCAAAGAAGAATCATGAATGCAACAAGCGTTTACGAATCATGAGTGCAATACGTGTGTAGCAAGCCTCCAAAGGCGAATAACGGGTGTACCGTTCAGGGACTCCTTCGTCTCTCTCTCTTTCTCTTGCTCGTGTGCGGCCTGCTTTATATACATAATTATTCCGCTCTATCATATTTATAAGATATTCATAATTATCATATGCAAGAATCAAGGCCGAAGATCAATTTTGCAATAGTCGATCAACGATAATAGTAACAGTAGCAGTAGTTTCAGTATCGAGAAGGTGTTACCGGATCTCATTATATATTCATGGAATAAATCCGTAATAATTATATTACAAATTCGCGATTTATTTAATAATACTTTCTTTTAGAAACGGAATTTAAGCAAATAATCTTTTAGAAACAGAATTTAAGCAAATAATTGTATAGATAGATCGTAAAGTAATTGAATTATATCTCGAGAAAAATTATTCACGATAATCAATCGTTCAAACCGTATTAGATCAAATCAGCTGTTTAGAATATAGACAACAAATTTTTAATTGATTAATTTAAATTTAAATAATAAATATAATGAAGGTCTTTAATCACTGAATTAAATGATTTAATTATTGAATGTTTGAAAAAGAGATAAAATAAGATCCGCATTGACTTTGTGAATCGATAAGAAATTTATTCAAGGTCGGTTCACTTTCCACCCTGTATCGCTGCTATTCGCGCGATATTTATCGATCTCGTATAACTCCTTCTGAATCCGATCCAGTATCTGAAATCCGGACTAATTCGCGCACGATCCGTTGGAATGAGTCCGATCGTCAAATAGAAAAAGTTAAAGTCAAAACAGTATTCGAGATAATGAAGTATATTTAATCGTGTGAATTGAATACGTTTTAAATTTATGCAATTAATATATGTTAATATATTTCCAAGATTTATTATTTAAAATAGAAAAAAGATATTGTTTTTTCGAATTGAAATTATTAGATATATATATATATATATATATATATATATATATATATATATATATATTCTCAGATCATTTTGAGAAAATATAGAAACAAAAATATTTTTTTTTTTTCAGGAAATTTTCAATTTTTATTATATACAATAGGATGCACACATTCGCATTTAGTTATTTTATAGATAAATCTTTTTAACTATTTTAAAAGCATTTACTTTTCAAAATATTAATCTTTTTATTTTTTTTAAATTCGAATTTCACTAATTAGTACGTCTGTCTACAAACATTAATGATTCCGGCTCATAAAATATGCGGAGAAAGTGTAAGATTGACTTAGTCATCATGTATCGTCGTATTTATACAGACGTAATGCAAAGAATAAGTTATAAGGCGTTTAGAAGAAGTCTCTCTCTAAGTATCATGTCGAAAAGAAAGTATTGAAATCGTATAGAAATGTATTTAGGTTTTTAAATTTTAATGTTGCATCACGTACAAAACTATTAAATTCTTAAATTACTACGATAACAATACTTGATACGCATAATATCTCATTATGTATAAATAAAAAATACAACGTTCTTGGGAAACTACGCGATTAACAGTCGAACTCGCAAGTATCAGCGATTTGTAAGTCATTTACGATAATGGGATTTTTATGTCAATAAATTAATCTCTCTCCGGGAAATCACAATCCGGGAATGAATGTGATGTATCTTTAGCACATTAAAGAGATAAATGCGCTATCGCGTGAGAAATGAAATATTTAACTTTGCCGATTATGATTCTTACGCAATCTACTAAATTTTGCATCGTTGTTTACAGATACGCATACGTAACGAAAAATATGCCCTCGTAAAAGTATCTAATATTAGAAACGAATAAACATTGAATTGGCCTTATGATTATGGCATTTGGAGAATTCATGTGCGTTATCTGCACGCAATCGAAAAAGAAAAGCAGTAACCTCGAAAAAATATCGATTAAAATCCGTTATTGTGCGATTCTACGCTAAAATGTCATTACGCAAAGACAAGTCCTTGCGAGCTGTAATTTGCAGGCTAGAAGTATATAAATACAGATGAACACGTGTACACTATTACAAGATATCGTCGACAATTATAGCCAATATTACTTACTCGAGAATACCTTTGTAAAGACGATCGATAATTACATAGCTATTTGCAACCGTTTATTTCGAGCTTGTCATTAATAATCACACTCGAGAAAATGCAAACCGTCGTGGAAACTGTGCAAATACGATTTTGCAGAACGCTGCTGCAGAGGATGTAAACATTCGCAAGAGAAAGGGGTGTGAAAATAATTTTATACGATACGTAATGTTTGACAAGAAGAAAGAACGTTATTTATCTTTTGACCGACTGCAGACGACAGGAAAGTAAATCTATGTCGAGAGAATCACCGGTTTCTCTCGCGTGTCTTTCCGTAATTGAAAACAGCTGATTCGTAACTGGCTACTTCCTCGTATAATCTTATCGGAATTATTTCCCTGACAGATTGAATTTTTCCTGCTCTTTAAGTGTATCTTAATCTTGCATGAGCTGTCTTGTTGTTAATTCTCGAATTTCTCGAATAAAGATTTATGCATATGAGTCAAATTTATCATTAAATGGAATTCATCAAAATACCACACACCCATTACTTTGATTATTTCTTTCTTATTTCCTGTTTTGTATTCGATAGTAACTGGGACAAAACAAATCTCGACCTTTTAAAGCGATGAATTTGCAACAAATAAAAATAACTGCACTCTAATCTTTATTTATCAATTATTTCACATGAATATGAATTTAGAAATATTTTTGCGTATATAGTATTTATATATTCTGTAATATTTATATATTCTGTATAAATATTCTTTTAAGTAGTTTTACTATTTTGCTGAAGGTCTAGATTTTGCGAACAGCTTGAAAATGTCAAGATTTTGTATCAGACCGGTTTTGAATTACTGAAACTATAAATCCCCTCCCATTATGAAAAATTCTTTAATTAAATTCATGTAAAATGTGATCTCGCCAATTAAATGAGCATCAATATTGCGGCAAGGTCATTAACATTGCGTAAATGATAATAACAGAGCGTATGTACTTTCTCTGAGGGCGAGGATTCTTCTCAGTTTCGCCGGGCCTACGTGAGAATTTCACTTACTTTGATCGCTACTTATTGAGATTCAGAAAGAGCCGAAATGACACACATGCACCTTTGAACAATTTTCTGACGCAATTTTTTCACATTTCGAAATGTACCGTTAGAAAAAAAATGTACCGTTAGAAAAAAAATATAAAAATCTAACTATAACAGAACACATTTTTTTTTATCTATGTATGGAAATCATATAATTAAGTTAGAGTGTAATCGAAAGAGACATTCACTTTTCTGTACTATGCGTACGTAATTTTATGATAATAACTGTTGCATAAAACAAGATAAAGTTGTAGCAATTATATTTATTCATCAAAATAGAAAAATTACTATATTGAAAAATTAGGATGACGGCAATTTTCAGACATGTACATTCAGATGTATATATAAATGTCAATGATTTAAATGAACGGCTGAGTTCCCGCGCTTTGCTTATCACAAAGCATTTTCGATTGAACCTGTTGCACTCGACATGCATGTGAATGTAATAATGGAATTATTTTGATAAAAGAATTATAAAAATTTTTTTCTCGCAAATAATTTGCAAGTATCAAATCAATTTATCAAATATAATTTTTCAATTAAAGAATATAGTAAATATGTATACAAAAATAAAAATAGAACATCTTATGTCAAAATATTTTTTTCTTGCACATAATTGTATCAAATATTTTATAGAACGTTTTCTTCAACCTTTGTATATTTATTTATAAATTGGAGCAAATCTATAAACTGGATTTTAATTTACTTATGAATCAAAAACTCGTAATTTTTCTTTCGATTTTTGATTTATGATACTTTTCTTTAATATTATAAAAATCAAAAAAAAAATTACAAGGGTCGGTTCATAAATAAATTAAAATTTTCAGATGTTAACAGTATGTGAGTTTTGCCAAGTTTAAACATTATTGATACAAGATCAAAATTTACCTCAATACTGTAAGATTTCTTGATGGCGAACATTTCACGGTTCTTCTGGGCGGCTGCGACTGCCATCATATCTTCCTCGATACTCGTCTTTTCTGGCAGATTTTTCTGATAGCGATTAATGTTGGAAGTTCCTCGGCTCAACGACTTGATCAATCGACTTGATCTTTCAATCAAAAGTCAAAAGTTCTCGACCTGATAGCGCTCACTGATGCAATAACAAGAGGGTTGTGAGTGAGGTCTTCACTGTCGCTCGCAAGAAATTACACGAATGAATTCCTCGAGTTGATTTACGCGATTTTAATATTCCGACGATAATGTCCAGCTGCGTCCTCTTCGGCCTCGATCCGTTTGGCTGTACGGTTCGACTACAACAAATGATGAGGACGGTGGTGCGACAACAAGTCTCCTCTACTACTTAAGTCCGCTTTTAGACGGAGCGTACGAGCGAATGCGTTTACGGGGCGGATTGCCGTCGCATATAAACGTTACCTCCCTTCACCGTCTGCTAATGCCGGGGTGCCCCCACCCTATCGTCGTTTCGGATGGTCCATCGGCAGCAGCCACCGCCACTACTACCGCCGCCACCGCCGCCAACGTCGCCGGCGCCGACGCTGCTGTCATTGACGAAGACCACGAGGTGGTTCCTCATTTAGCATTTTTATAATTCCCATCGGATCTTCGCGAGAAATTGCGTTTTTATTAATGAATGATATAACACGAAATGTCCCATTATCTAGATAATTAAGAGGAACTCACATGGAATCAACTCTGCTTATCTGTGAGAAATTCCTTAGTCTACATGCAAATCGATCGACTCTTTTTGCTTGAAGAAAAATTGATCACATATCAGAGAATTAATTAATATACATAATCTAGTGATATAATGAATATTTTTCAATATATAATTTTTCAATATATATTTTACATGCTAAATAATGCACTGCCTAAGAATTCTAGCAGAACACTATTTACATTTTAATGATATTAATAATCAAAATGATTGGAAGGAGTTTAAAGAATATATAGCTCTCGATCTTATATTGTAACTGTAATTGACAATAAGTCGTGTATCGAGACGAATTCGAGCAAACGTATAAGCGTGTGATGTTTTAAAACGTGGATATCATTTTAGGATGTGAATGATTGAGTTGCCAATATCTTTTTCTGGATTCAACCATATTTGTAGCTATTTAACCATATTTATAGCTTAAGCTTAAAATACGAGATTTAACTCGGTGAAAATTGGTATTTCGATGACTTAAAAAAAAGTATATTTAAGAATATCGATAAAAATATATAATTGACAATATCAATAAGCGATTAAAATATCTAAAAAAAATCTTTAGGTTTTTACATGATTGTTTTAATAATGTATGTATCGCGACACTTAATTTTATTTTTCAAATAATTATAATTTCTATTATATGTTTATTGAAATATAATTTCTATTATATGTTTATTGAAATTATTAATTTCTAATTTCATATAATTTATAAATATGGATAATTATGGAAGTAAAAATAAGAACATTAATCAAATATATACATTTTATATGATAATAAAAAAAGAAGAAGACAAGTTGGATATTAAAAATATATATTATATTTAAGCATTAATTTAAATAATATAATTATATATCGCATATTCATAAAATCCTTATTATAAACCAATTTCTATTATCTTTTTCATATTTTCATTTTTTCGTTAGTTTAACATTATACTGCTAATATATAAAGTTAAACTGTGAAAACAAATTATTGCATTTTACATAGATAATTTTTTTGCAACTTTTCCTCTAGTTTTGCGCAAATTGTGTATTAAAAGTAAAACCGTAATTGGTTTTGCGTCGACGTCATCGGAACCTGCTTCTGGACATTGACGTTTGCACGATCCTGTATTTTGCATCAATCCTCGGCATTGATTCCACTGTTCAATCGTCACTTCTGTGCGTCACGCATTCATGTACATTACGCACGTACGAGCGATCGTGCGTACAGTCGAGTGATCGTTCAGAGAAAGATTTTTCGAGAGAAAATACCATACATGCGATCGCTTTTTATGACTTTCTAAAGATTCAACTGCGTACGGTCCAACCTATATATTCGCCGACATAGTGCTGCGTTCGATGGATGCATGAGGAATTGTGATAAGTATTGATGATAAGTATTTAACATCGACGATAAGTATTAACATTATCAGCATTATTAAGAACTTGATCTGCATAATAGCACGATGTGTACATGAGCGCATGCGGAAATAAAAAAATATTGACTTTGCGTACTATTACACAGCGTTGCATAACGGAAGTTGAATAGAGACCTAGAAATTCGATTCTTCTTAACTAGCAGCCGTGAGATCATTTAAACAAGATGATATATGGCCTTCGAAAAACTTATTAATTGAATGCAAAATAAAAAATACGATGCTGTTATTCGAAGCAGGAAAATATGTTTTTTCTCGGGAAGATGGGCTTTGAATATTTAACATATATGTATTCGATTCAAAACACTGAAAAAAGATCCGTAAAAATTCAAGAAGAATTCAAGTAGAAAAATTCAAGAAGAAATAATGTACTTTGGTGATGAATTCGACGAGATCAATACGGAAGAGACAATGCTTAGAACTTCCTGACATTCATTTTAACATTCAAGGTCCTACAATCGACAATACTTGATTGGAACTTATCATAAATCAAATAAAAAGAAGACGGACAAAAATTTACAGTTAATGGACGATAATTTCACAACGACTGCCGATTTAGTAATATGTTAAAGAAAGATATCTCTTCCTCAGACGTCATTCATGTGTGCCGCGGTCGACGTCACAAGTCACATTACTTGGAGGCACGAATAGCTGGGAAACTCCCCGAGTGGCCGAGTTGAATTCTCTGGCAACTTCCTTAACGGGCAATCCAGGTTCGAAGTGTGGATTCCCGGACTGGGAGTTTCCAACTATAATCATTTTATCGTCTTCACCCAGCGAAAGAATCGTTCGATAATCGCCACTCGTGAATCACATTCCAAATAATCTAATACATACATTACTTTCACTCCGCATTCATTAACATAGTTTTATTTCCCAGAGGAAGTGTGTACAGATTTAATGCATATAAAAAAGAAATAATTCCATGCATATAAAAAAGAAATAATTACCGACATATGTGATCAAGCATATAAATAAACTGAATAAATTATTTTTATTGGAAATTAAATTTTTTCGAAAACAACACTCAAAAAAATGATCTTGCAACTATAGCAAAAATTTTCTAGGTGCCAAAAATTAACTGAGGCAGATAAACGATTAGCAAATATTGTAATATCGTATATATGTTGCATGTAATCAATCTAAATGACAGAGACAGAATTTATATCTGAACTGTTTGTGAAATTTAGAAAGAAAGTTTTTCTGTGGCGTCTATCCATGTTATAATCAATCCATACTTGTTATAAAGTTTGACTGTAGTACACAGAAAATACTAGCAGCAAGAACAAATGAATATATAATCCTAAATTTTCTAGCAGATATTGCTAGAATGTTACTGCTATAAATTCTAGCTGAGACAAACGATATTCTATCAGATACAAAAAATAGCGATAAATTTTGGTTGCGACATCTAAAAATATACCTACATTAGCAAAACATTTTTTTGAGTGAATAAAAATACAAGAAAAACACAAATACTTAGTTCTAATTTTCTTATTTTCGATTTAACAGTTAAAAATGGAAATTTATTTATAAAAAAACAGGAACAAGTTTAATATTTTAATTACTTTCAAGATAGCAGAAAATAAAATTTTAAAACAGCATAATAAATTACAAAAAAATATCACCTCAGAAATCTAAAAACATGAAAACGAGAAAAAGACAAGAATTTGAGATAGGAATTTGAGATAGGAATTTAAAGATTTTAATCTAATATTCTGTTTCATATATAATTCGATTTAACGCTTTTTATTTATCTCGATTAAAAATTAAGATAAAATTAGATGTAATAATTAAAATTAATGATATGATTAAAATTAGATATATTGTATTATATCTCCTAACATTTTATTGCCTTTGTTAAAAATAGTTTAGAATTCTTTTTACATTAACACTCAAGAATATTTGCATAATGTAATCTCTTTCATTAATTAATAAACTTTATCGTGAAATGTAATCTAGGATCTAGTAATCTTGGAAATAAAAAGATTAACTATATCTCTACTCTCTCTTTCGAAATAAAATATTACAAAATTAGTAATAAAAGAATAAGAACAATTAAATGATTTAGCAAGTATAATTAAGATACAATTAAATAATTAAATACTAATTAAATACTAATACGTACAATTAAATAATTATTTAGAAATACACACATATAAATAATTGTAAGCAACTATTGAAAATATTTAAAACAAATACAGTTTTATTAAAAATATTTTAAATATCTTGATTACGTATCCTGAATTTTGTCTTATTGAAGATTCAGTATGTATTTTCCGATCATAAAAACTCGATCAATAATTAATTTCGTATTAATTATGATTGAATAAGTCACTCGACGCAAATGAGTCATTAAAGAGTCTTTGGCCACGACTTAAATTATTGTTACGCAGAGCAAATTCTAAGGACAATGGGATTGATTGTCTCCGGAATTACGTTTCGCGTTGTGAAATCCTTGTGACTGAGGCCATTCGAATGTCTATGATCTTATAATTAAAATGTTCCAATTTATCGCGTGCCAAACATCCAACATATTATCTTCAATATAAATATATTAATTTATATATTTCAACACAATATATCTTTACTCGATTGTGTATATATATAAAATAAAACATAAAAAATATATAATAAAAATATATAATAAAATATAATATAAAATAATATATAATAAAAATATAATATTATATTTTAAATATAATATAATATTATATAAACGTGATTAAAAAATTTGTAAATTGGTAGAAGCAAAGTTTGCAGTTTGTCTATCTCAAATTATAGAACTGAATTTCATGGAATCGATTTATATTGCACTTTATGAAAAATAGTTTTTATTCAACAAAGCGTGTCAGAGATACGAAAATATTTTAGTATTTTAAATAGCACGTGAACGTGTATATATACATATAATGCCTGTGTGTATATATAGTATACAATGCACAGTAACGTACACACCATCATTATACCAAACATGAGACGCAATCTTACTTTCATGTATCAAGGCCGCCTCACGTGCCCGGAGACGAAGTGGTACTTGCTCTACGTCAAGACTACGTAGTTAAGATCTAGATCATAATCAAATATTTAGTAAATTCTGAATTGATAAATCCGACGAATTAGAGCGAAGAAGCGTCAAAAAAGATTAAAAAGTAGCCACGAATAACAATAAATAAACGACAAATGTAGATAATTTAAATTAATGCATACTTTTAAGTTATTACATTAATATATATTTAAAGATGATATTTATTCATAGA